AAACGGTCCTGTACAGAAAGAGTGCATTAGGATCCTGGCATCAGTCAGTGAGGATGTTTGCCATTTAGAAATTAATTGGTTAAATAACTAGGACTACATCAACTCCTTGCTGTAGTGTAAGATAATTTACACCTATTAAAGACCAGGAATTGTCAAAGTTTTTCAAATAAGTTACACATAAAGGAGGGCACTTTACTTTTACACCTTCTGTTTGGGCAGATTTCCAAATATTATCTGCAAAGTAGCATAATAATCCTTCAATTTTAGTGGAACTAGAGTTATACATTTGCTACGAATTACTAGCACCTCACCCTTGGTCACCCAGAGAACAGGCTGGCACAGTGTTTGATTTTCATGGTCAGAAATGTGAAATTAAATAAGTTATCTCACTGTCACAGCTGGAGAAGGAGAGGAGATTGGCCTGCACTGAACATGTGAACAGCTGGCTCCAGGGTTCATCTGCTTCCTTCTGGGGCAAGACCAGAGCAGCCTGAATAGCTGTGAAACAGGGGCCTGAAAAAAGCCAGGGCTGCTCTACGAGGGGTTAGAGCCCCAAGTCGCAGGGGGCAAAATGAAGGACAGAGTGGTTCCAACCATCAGCTGGCTCGATGAGTGCCCAAAGAACAAGTAACACCTTTTCAAACACAAGTGCTTTTTCTGAGCATTAGCTTTGGAAGGGTTTAAGATTTTACATTTGAGAAACTAAGGGACAGTTTCCCCTGTGCAAACACTCGCCCAGACAGCCTTTGGATTCAGCAACAAGAGGCCTTTGGCTCAAGGTCAGTAGAAATGGAAGCACCACTTCTACCACTTCACTTCCCCAGAGACCTTGCAAAGCAGGTGACTGTAACACTGTCAGTCCTAAATCACCTAATGGGCTTCAACCCTTTCAAAGACCAACCTGAGTTATTGCCCCAAACCAAGAGCTGTGTGGCTATGCACCATCACCCTGCTCTGCTCCGTGGCAGCAGGAACCTCCTAGCAGCAAGTCCAAACACACACACGGATACTTCTTGGACCAAAGCACCCCCAGATAACATTTTAAACTGTACCAAATGCTTAACTCTGCTGCAGTTAAACTATTCCCTACAAAAATAGCCTGGATGTTACAATCCTTGAGCAAGTGTGTGCCTTCTGGGCTCTAGCTGTTCAGAAATACCCATAATATTCTGTCATTCCCCCTGCACAACTACACCAGCCTTTCCTTCTCAAGCTGAGACTGTCTCCTGCAGGTGGCATCAGGGCCTCAGAGCTTCCCAGCTGCTCTCTCCTGACACAGGTCCCACGTGGAACAGACCTGACCCGAAGAGGTGTGAGTGATGCCACGAGGGCTTTGGCACTGATCACCCAAGCTGGGTCTGGAAGGGCACAACTGCAAAATGACCCCTAAAACATCAGTGAGAATGCTACACACTGCAGCAAAACACCAGACCCTCCAATTCTCAAGCCCTCTGTTAAACCAGGAGAATTTCAGAATTTCAAAACACAAATGTCTGGTGGTATCTGACATGTCCTTGAGCTCCAGCTGCCACCCAAGAAGTGAGTGCTCCCTGGTAGGTCCCATGTCATACTGCCAAAGTCAGGCAAGTATCTCAGGTACTGTCTGACAGCAAGAATGCTGGCAAAGGTGACGTTCACATTCAGAGCTGCTTCCTTACTATGCTCCTTACAGATATTCTTGTTGCTCACTTTTTGAAGGCTTGGCAGATGATTGAAAAATGCCTTTCACACTTTTAGTCTCAAAATTATTTTGTCCTGTGGAATTTCCAGGGAAACATCAGCACTTGATAACCCTCTCTTGCTGCTGGCCAGGTGCTCTCTGCAGTCACTGCCAGCACGACCCTTCCTGACCACATCTCACCTGTGCTGTGTATGGGCTGCTCTGTGGTTGCTCTACCCAACTCCAGCAGCTTCATGCAGCTGATGAAAAATATGCAGCATGCAAAAATGGAAGCAGAAGGGCACACAGAAAAGCAGACAACTGGCTCATGTTCTTTTTCTCCTGCCTATCTCCCATCAACACCCTCCACACCTTCCCCTCTGCTTGTGAGGACAGGTACGTCTGTGGTTCCGTGCAGCTCAGTTAGGCGAGGAGTGAACAGTGCTGCAGCTGGCACTGCACAGAGCAGCAGGGAAGAGGACTCCTCCCTCTGCCCTCCAGGCAGCTCTGCCAGGAGAGGATGATACAAACTGTAGCTCTGCTGGGCTAGCCAGGCTGCCAACAGACAGTTGCAATGAGGGCAATTCCCTAGGGGATGAAGGTGTTTTTTAATCCCTTTGCTTTTCCTCCTGCCTCCTCTGCCTGCCCACAGCTGCCATCCCTGCCTGGAGCTGCCATCCCTCCCCATGGTTTCCATCCCTGCCCAGAGCTGCCATCCCTGCCTGTGCACCTACAGCCTGGACAGCAGATCAGCAGTGCAGGCGCTGGCACAAGGATGGAGCAAAACCAGTTTGCTACGGGGATGGAAACAGGTTTTTTTGGCCCCACAATTAACTCCAGAGCTCCTGCCTTCTGTAGGAGCAGTCAGGATCACACCTTCGATTCATCCCACAGGGCAAGAACAGGAAAATTCTGCACTTGTGCTGCTCAGGGAGGACAAAAAGTTGTCACAGCCCAGAAATGTCTGTCACCTGCCAGACCAGAGGTGACAGGAACAGCACTGCTGGCCCACGCAGGCCACCAGCACTCCTGACACCTCCACAGCTTCAGTCCTCTCTTACAGCTGAGCACAGAGCTAACAAAACTGGGCTTTAAACCCATTAGGACTTTGAACCTCTTCAGACTGAAAACTGAAAAAATGATCCAAAACTTCTGCCTGAGGATTTGCTGTTGTGAAGTACATGTGGGGTTTTGGTTCCCATTCTCCCAGGTGACCCTGAGGTCACACTGCATCCCATCCTCTGCCTCCCACCCATGTCTTCAATACTGCACTGCCAGGCAGGGCATGGGAGATACAAACTGTCTGTGAGCCTGAGCTGAACGTGTGAATGGGGGACACAGCACACAGGACAACTCTCTCCAGCTCTGCAAAGAACCTAATGGAATTTTTTGGTCAAAACATATCAGGTCATAGGTGAAACACCCAGTGGAAAATTGAACCTTTCCCTCATCTAAAGCCCAGCCTCTCAAAAACAGAGTGCTGGATAACCTTAGTGTTTGCACTGAAAACCAGAACTGGCTCCTCTGTAACTTCTCTTTTGCTCAGTGCAGCCGTGCCAGCAGCATGCAGCAGCAGCCTACCTGCACATGCCATGCTGCAGCTTCCTCCAGATGCACAGGCACAGATTCGGATCGCTTTCAAGTGATGCCAAAGGCAGTAATCTCTGATAGCACTGGGAGCCAGGACTGATAACAGGCAAGTTTAAGCACTGCTCGTGTGATAATTACGTAGTTGTCAAAAGTATATAGGTTGGCAGCACACAGAAAATACAAAGTTTGGAATACTTGGGGAAAGCAAAGACGACCTCCTACCACAGCCCACCATGCGACCGAGGTCTGTGCAGTTCTCTAGGGAGCTGTCTAACCAGGCCCCAAACAAGCTGTTTCCAGAGAGCATCTGTTCCAAAGCCTCCTGACTCCAAAGCAATGGACATGACCTGCAATCATGTGAGTTAACAGGGAGGTTTTTCCCAAACCCCTTCACTGTGCACACCGAAGGACCTCCAGAAGTTGCGACAAAGACGTCCACCACAGTTTCATGGTGAATCCCATCTCAGGTCTTGAGAGAGCAAGGCATTTGTGCTGGCCTTTAAACTTGTGAGAATCAAAGGGAACCCCTGAAAAGTTCTTTCACCAGATAAGATCACTGAGCTCAAGAAGCAAGGCCCCTTTTCCTCACAGAGTCTGGCCTCTCAGATGGGTATGATAAACTATACACAAAAGTTGAATATTCACCACTGAAAACATTCCATAAGTTTATTAGTTGCCATGAAGTGCTGCTGGGCATTTTATCAATAATCTCTGTCTTAAAAAACACACATCCTGATGCTTATTGAATTGTTCTTTTTCCTGCTGCCCCATGAAAGAGAGAATAAACATCTCATGTTTAAAATTCAGCTGGTGTGTACAGACAGTGCCTAAGAATTCAAGTGCATGAGATCATTAGTCACCAGACTGGCTTGTTACCACTCAAAGGCCTCCCCTGACCATTCAGAAGGGTTTTCAAAGGCAGACTGCAGCCACGGTCAGAAATCCTTAATGGTGGCAGAATTCAAACTGGGAGGAGTTACAGAAAAGAGGCAAACACTCACCATGAGGCTGCAGCTCCACTGGGATATCACAGATACAAATAATCACTGATGGTCTGTCACCACAGAATTTCTTGATACTTCATTGTCACATGTGTATCATGTGGACTGACGGTTGGACTTGATCACAGAGGTCTCTTCCAACCTTAATGATTCTATGATTCCATGATTGTAACATCAGGCCAAAACATGGTTGCCTGAACTCTCCCCTTTAAACACCAAGAAAAAAACCCAGCCACTGCTACCTCTTCTTCCTGTGCTATCAAAATCACTTGTGTCCTACAGCACAAGACGTAGATATCACAGTATCTAACAGTCACCTCAAAAACCTGTTGAAAATTATCAGTGAAGCATCCAGAGGGAATCTAAGATTTGTCCTGATTTACTCACATGCCTTCTTAGCTTCCTGAAGAGAAATCTCTTCTCCTCCTTTGTTGTAATTAACCAACATAAATATTTGCAGTGTACACTTACAAATAAGTGTATGAAAGTAAAAGAATGTACTTGATAATCTCATCTAAATGCTCCAGCCAAACTATAGTATTTTTAAAGACATAACAGGAATTAAAACATAAGTTTTCTTCCTTGCTTTTCTCTGCATGTACTATTTTATTACATGCTTACAAAGTTATAAGAAAATGCACAATTGTAACAGTAGGACTACAAAATCCAGAACTGGATGTTCCAAACATCTTAAAATAATCTCCAAGCAAATCACCCTGAGAAAATGGGAGAGGGAAATCCACACTCACCTGAACGTGATCTGTCCAGTTCTCCTGACTCATGGTTTTCTGAAAAGACAAAATTACTTCTGAGCTGTTTTAGAAAAGGGAGAATGCTACACACAAGGTGAAATTTAACCCACCACCTTACACACTGGCATCAGCTGTGCCTGAGGAATGCCTTCTGGAGCACACTGAAACCTCTGTTTCTCGTGTGCCACCAGAGTGGGCATGGCAGAAACACAGCTTAGATGAAGTCATTCAGACAGCAATTCAGACAGCACATGAGACCAAAGATTCCTATGCCATCAAAGCACACTGGCAATGCCCTCACACAGCAGCAGCCCTAACCCTCCTTCTCACCCAGAGCTGGGTCCTGGGCTCCTCTGCAGAAAACTGATCACCTGAACAACACTTTGCAAAGTGCAGCAGCACTTCTGAGTGCCTCAAAGCTCACCTTGTGCTCCTGCAAGGATGGAGCCACCTCTGAGCAAAGCTGCAACAGGCATGGGTCACTGCTGCTGCCTTTACCTCAGATTTGCAATATGTTCATAGATGGTTCACCTCAGCAGCTAGCCCAGCAGAGAGCCATCTCCACAGGCTCTAGGAAAGAAAATGATCCCAGGGATCATCTGCAAGGCTGAGCCTTCAGCATATAAAAGTACAAAGTTCTCAACAGACATAACATGAAAAATCCTCTGGAATCATGAGGTCTGGGAAAAGAAACTGAAGAGTTAATATCCCCGTTCCAATGTAGTTCAGAGCCAGGCTTGGGGACAAACCTGGGACAGGACCTACTCTCCACTCTGCCAAGAACAGGCTGCATGAGGCTGACCAGCCACCGAGGCCTGAGCTTCACCCCAACTCCTGGCAGAGGTAACAATGATCACTGCTGCCACTTCTGTGGAAAGGTACAAGAGCAAACAGGGAGCAAGAGCCTCAAAGGAAACATTTTTGAGATATACAAGCATGTAATTTAAATACTAGTGAGATAAAGGAGCCATTTAATCAGACCTCATACACAGCTGAGAATGGTAAACAGAGAACACCAAAGAGCTCTCAGAAGAAGGGACTGTGTCCAGAAACAGCTGCCAAATGTACCTTAATGGAAGTAACTGGCCAGCTTGGATACTTTAAATCAAGCAAATACTCCAAAACAAAGGAAGTGGAAGGCCAGAGAGAGCAGAACATCAGATCAGGAATCCATTCCACTCTCCTAAATAAATACACCTGTATAAATGCTTTCTGCTCTCTCACTGAGGATGACCCAGCTCTCTAGATTGATGTCATCCATCATTAAAGCTCTAAGATGCAGGAGGCTGCAATGCTCTATCCTCACCAGGTCTTCTGTCAGTGGATCTGGCAGGCAGCAAAGACAGATCAGAGCCTTCACGGGTGGATCAGGAGGTCATGGAAGGAGGCCTGGCTGTGCCAGAACAGTGTCAGCAGATCACCACCACTCCACCTCATATTTGTGTTCAAAGTGCTGGGGGGTGGGGGATCAGAAAAAAATCAGGCATCTGCCTTCTACTGTCAGAAGATCAAAAGAATCCTCTTTTGAGCAAAAGAACAGGCAATTCTGGAAAAGGTGTCTCATTTCCTGAAAACTGGCTCTTTGAACACTGGATCACTGGTACTGTAGGAACATCTGAACAACCTGCTGGGCTCTGTTAAAAGTGTTAAAAAAGGAACTGCAGAGAACACACTACTCCATGACTGGAAAATACAGCTTGGCAATTCAAAATTCAAGGTATTGAAACATTTTGCTATGTTACTCAGTCTCTTGTGGTCCTTGTCCTTCACAGTCCAGATGATAAACCTGGATACAAGTGTAAGCTGTTTCTTCCAGAAAAGGCAGAATAAAAACTTACTCTCAGCTGGTACAATCTGTCTCCAGGAAAGTGCAGTGATGAATGCCAGACCATCAAGAGAAGCACCAAAACTGCCCTGTTAACTAGAAGAGAAATGTGCTCCCCCATGCAGTGTGCTCAAGAGCATCCACAGGGCAGTGGCTTGGCTCCTGGCAGTGGAGGAGAAACCACAGTCACGTTTCAAGACTGTTCTGCTCCTTAGAAGGAATTAATGGCCTCTTATTTCTACAAACCCTCAGTGCCAGGACAAGTACCAATGTATTTGAAAGAGAATTTGTAGGCTGGACAAAAGTAAAGTTAGCACAAAGAGTGGAGAGTGGTTCAGTGCCAGGACAAGCACCAGTGTATTTGAAAGAGAATTTGTAGGCTGGACAAAAGTAAAGTTAGCCCAAAGAGTGGTTCATGAGCTGGAGGTACTACCATTTTGCTCAGCAGTAACATGGTTCTTAGCCCAAAAAAGTGTCTGTGGCAGGTTTGGGCCACACCTATCACAGCCAGACCACAAGCACCAAAGCAAAGTACCTCCAAAGAACCCAGCAATGTGGAATGTCTAAAACTCAGTGTTCTTAAAAAAACCCCAAACAACATGCAACTCTCCCCCAAACCTCTTTATCCTGTATGCTCCTGCTTGTTTGAGATGGCTGAGACAAACAACACACCACGAGTACTCCCTGATGTATCTACATGTGTCCCAGACCACTGCTGAGGACCCTGAGGTGACCAAGCACCCAGCTCTGGGCAACCCAGTCATTAGAACGTGAACAGACACACAAAGCATTCTCTCAGAGAAAAAAAACCAGGTCCAATGGCAGACCCAATGCATTTCTATACAGTAACCAGGACAATGAAAATTCACTCATATACTATCAATACATTTTAATCATATCAATTATGTTATTCAAAATGCAAAACACACAAAAAGCCTCATTCGCAGCCATGCCACACAATACAGAAACCTACCTCAACAAACCTCTTGTAAAAGAGGTAATTCAGAGTTCTCAGGTGCCGCTGGTTTATGACATTAGGGCAGAGAGCTAAAAGAAGGAAAAAGACATTTAAGTTTCCCACATAGCTGAACTTCCTTGAAGATTTACTGTCTAGACATTACAGTTTGCCTTCCCCAATTTCCACCGTGGTATGTGGAAGGCAGGATGCCATCACCCTTGGAACAATGAGGGACAGACACACACATTGTCAGCTTATCTCAATTATAAACTGTTATTTACACCTCCAGCCAGGATCAGCAATGCTAATCCTCCCTTCTGATACCTCTGGTTCTGCCACCCTCCAACGATAAGATCTCCTTGCTGGTTCAATATGCTTCACAGCCAACGACTTCACACCTTTAATTAGGTAACATCCTTTTTGATGTAACTGGAACCTGTGCTGTTAATTGTGTTAACCTGTGCTGCACTGAAGCAATCTTGAACATGTTGCTCAGGATGTAAACCTGTGGCTAAAGTTTATCGGTAAAACACACATCCATGGAAGAGACTCCACATCCACACACAGAGGGAGGGGACTATGGTTCTGCTGAGCTAGCAAGCAAGAGTTGTTATTACTATTATTACTATCATCTGCATTAGATTTGCTTCATTACAACTGCAAAAGAAAAAAAGATCTTCACATAGCACCTTGTTTTGAAATCCAGTGCAAAGAGAGATAAATGCAGCAGATAAAACACATCACCTGGGATTAGCACACGTACCTGTCAGCTCTGGCTAGGTGCTGGTATGTGTGTGCAGGGAGAGAGCTACCCAGTGCCTGCACTGGGGTTTCAGTGGGTAAAACCAGCTCACCTGTAGTTGGCAGGAGCAGGACCAGCAATCAGAAATGGTAATAAAAACCAGTAAAGTGAAAATTCTCTGCAGCCTCCCTTGAATCAGCGTGGAGCTGGGGAAACCAGTGTTACCACCTCTCCGTGCCCCACACACGCAGTGCCCGAGGATGGAAAACTGAGAGCATGAAGAAAGATGCCTTTGGCCCTGGAACCAGAGGGATGTGCACTGATGTACCACTGGTTACTGCAGCTTCTCTTGAAGAATCACTTCATAACTTCAACATTTCCATCTCAAGCAGAAATGTTTAAAGCTGTTAATTGTTAAATCAGTCTTCCACAGTGTGAAAACATATTCTTGTCCTCAAAGGATCTGAGGAAATTGTTCCAATTAGCAACATATTATGCCAATAAATATAGTGGTATTTCCTCCAGATATTACCCCAATACCTGCAGGAAAGATCATCAGCTCATGGAAAGCAACACTCTTTAAAGAAGGTAGGAACAACATAAAGATTTATAATATCACCACCTAACTTAAAGATTTCAAAGCACTTCAGAAAGAAATGCAGCGTGACTGCTCTAGGTCACCCAAAAGTGCCACCAAATGTTTTTTTCTTTGAGCTTCTAGAGGAAATATCCAGAACATGGGGCTTGGCAGAACTGAGGGATTTTAAGTGCCCAGCTATCTGTGTGGAAAGTAGGACAGAGGAACATCGACAGACTGGCATATTTTTGAAGGCACTGGTGACATTTTCCATTCTGATGGAGCAAAACAACTGAGTTTGAAGCCAGTTTTCTATATTGCATTGCAAATACCAGAGAAGGACTAATGGAAAATGTGAGGATGAAAAGTAACTTGGTGAGAGAGATAATGACATGAAGAGTTCAGCGCTTTAAGGAAAGGAAAAACAGCAGAATGGAACAACAAAATGGACTTCAATAAACTCAGAGAACTGGCAGGTAAGATTTCCTGTGAAAGTAATTTATAAGGGGAAAAGGAGTTAAGAAGAGCTGGCAATGGAAAAATTCAAAGTAAGAGAGTTAACTGCTAAATCAGAAGCTTTTATTGATCTCAATCACAAGAAGGAATTTAAAAGAATGTGGATCACACACATACAAAAGAACAGCACAAACACACAAATTCTGAAAGCTCAAAGTAAAACGTGAGATGCATCTACCAAAAGCCATAAAGGCAAGAGAAATTCCATATAGACTCTTGCAGGAAAAAAACAACCAAACCCCAAGAAAAACCTAATGGCAAGGCTAGAGAAGAACTGGCTTAAGTTGTTTAGGAGATGGTAAACTTGGAGGTCTTTAAAAACAGGTCCCACATTCCAAATATATCAGAAAAAGCAGAAGGAGCTTCTTCAGCTTTGGGGTGAGGTTCTCACAGGTGGCACTGCAGAGTCTTTGCCAGATCTCTTCCCTGCAGTTTCATGACCCCCTACACCTCACATCTGCAGAAACCAAAGTCCTTCAGGACAGATCAACATACTCAAGGTCAAACACCTAGCTGAGTGAACAGGAGTCTGAGCTCAGGTCTCCTGAGCCAAAAATCAGTGTCCTGTTGGCTGAGGCGAAGAAAATGTCCTAAGCTTTTCAGAACAGGGACCGTCCTTCTAGTCAGTGTTTGTCCAATGGAGGTCTGGGATGATGACAGGGTTGTGGAGCACCAGGGGAATACAAATGATATAATATTATGAAAGCACCTCTTTGAGCATGTGTTAACTCTTAACCTGACAGTTGCACCACAACAGTGCTTCATCTGAACTACATTTCACATCTGGGACTGACTCAGAAACAAGAATTCCAGCCTGCTCTCAGCCATTAGCAGAGTTAGTGTCTATCAGCAACACAGAGGAAGTAAAAATGAAACCCATTTGTCACGAAGGGTACGAAACCTGCAACACACACTTATTTCACTCATGTAACTTCAGTAAGATGTGTCTACTAGGGACGTGATGCAATATATTTCTAGGTGTGGTGCGTGGTTACCACTCCCAGGGGACACACGATGCCACCTGAGCTGGGATGGGGACCCAATCCTCTACACTGCCCTGAGAGCTTGACTTCCATTTACAATGAGACTCCTTCACCCTGTCCTGGCAGAACACACAAAGCATACTTTGTTTAAGGACAAAGTAAAGGAGCCTTCTTTTAATAAAATCAGGGTACCTGAAACGTTAGAGGCTTTTACCCTGGTGCTGCTAAGGACTGCTGGGGAATCTGAGGAGAAGCAAGCTGTGCCTTAGTCTCTCAGTGTGTTATGAGATTAGTCCCTAAATGTGAATTAGTGGAGCCTCAAAGATGCATTAATACCTCTCATAAAATGCTCTGTGCCACTACAGATCAGGATCAGCACTCCTCAGGAAGGTGAAACAGCAGAAGCCCCAGACTACCCCCAAGCTCCTGAGCTGCTAGATTTGCTGCCTGGAGCTCTGGGTGACTGGAGAAAGAACAGAGCACAGCACAAGGGTTTCGATCTATACCTGAAGGAAAAAAAGCTCTGGTGCACTGCTTAGACACGTGTCTGGATACGCTGAATTCATGCTCATAACTGCAAGGGTGGTGTCAGCTTTTCCAGGGAAATCCTGGAGCTGCTGGCAAGTTTGCCTTGGTCTAGAGGAGATCATATTATACTGCCTGTACTTCAGCAGACAAAAATGTAGCTGAGAAGGTAAGGGCCCAGGAAGGACCCTGGAATGTTCAATCCCTTCTTCAGCACCTTGACTCTGCAGCCACCACAACCTCAGGAATGGATGACCCCTGTCTTCTGGTGCCTAAGCCTACATGTTCTTCTCAGTCACAGTCCTACACAGAGATGTGCTAGTACTTAACACAAGAGCTAAAAAAACTCTGAAGGAGGATCACTATGGAAGTAGGGGGAACAACCCTTGTAAAGCAAATGCAAAGGGAGGGAGTAGCTTTCTGCTCTGTTCTAACACAGGAAGGTAAAAACATTGGACTTTTTCTCCTTCCAAAGGCATTTCTGTGGAGTTGTAGCTGTCATTCCACTCTCTAATAAAGCACCTTTTGGAAGTGCCCGGTGTAGACACCACGAGTCCTGCTGGAGCTCTCCCTGGTGACAGCCCTGCACTGTGCTCGGCGACCTCGCAGCCCTGGTGAGGGCTGAGGACAGTTGTGACCTACCTGAGGAGAGGCAGGGACTGCTGAGCAGCCCTCGTCTGCCCTCTGCTGCCCCAGCGCCCGCGGAGTCACAACGCTCCATCTTGCACATCAGTTCTGGGGCTCGGTAAGGAAGATTCACACCGAATTGAAATGAAAGGTTAAACTAAAAGGATAATCCGGTGGTCAAATGAAGAGAAACATTTCCCTGAGTTTATGCTAAAGAAACGATTTTAAGACTATGGTAAAAATATGCTGATAGCACAGCAACAGGACAATGACAACTGCTCCCTGTGTGTTCAGCTACCATCTATTTTCTATCAACACCACTGCCTTATTGCCACACAGACCTAAGGCTCAATAGATGAGGTCAGTCAGACTTTTTAGAGTGGTATTGTTTCTACCTCATACCAATGAATTTTCAATGAAAATTGCCACTGAACTTTCTGTGGAATACTGGCTGTCGAAAAACTCCACAGAAAATAGACTCAACCATTTCAAACCTAGGTAGAGTCTGTTCCCTCATCTCTGAGAACTGTTTTGACTGAATCTTGCATCTGTATATCTAAGTCAATCTCACAGGGTCTCCAAAGAGTATTAAGTAATTAGTGGGCAAAAACTACAAGCTCGTTAAACCAGAGCATGTTGACCCATGTGTGAGAAAGGACTCTATAAAACTCAGCTTCCTCAATCACATACCATTTCTGCCCAACTCCTTCCTTCCCCAATAAAGCTAATTAAATGGAACCCACACACAGTTTATTGGGACACCATTGGGACTCAGCAGAAAATCCTCCAGGTACCATGCAGTGTTTTGTGTGTTAACAGGAATACAGTTCAGAAAAAGGTGGATTAATCTAAGATGATGGCTTCTGGACCCCTGGGGTTCCAGATCTTTTTTTATATTGGGCCACCTTCTATCTCACTCTGAAATTTAAGACTGGCAGTTTCAATAACTGTTTCAAATCCCAGTGGCTGATCCACAGCTAAGTTTTGCTTAGCACTCAGTGAAATTTACTGCGAGTGGCTACGAGTGAGCTCGGGTACTGAAATATGAAAGTAGATTTGAACTGCAAGAACTGAGTCACATACAAGTTTGCTTTCTCATACCAAGAAACCTTGTCCTCCTCCAGCCTTTCTCACCAAAAGCCACTTCCCTCTTCTGCTGCCGCTCTCAGCCTCTTTCAGCAAGTAAGAGCCACGAGTGAAGAAGAGACAGAATGCAGCAGAAGACTGTGGCATCAGACAAGCCCACATTCAGGTTAGGTAACAAGAAGTGTGATTTTTACCTCATTGTTAGCTTTTGTGGAGCTGCCCAGAACAAGAGAAATTAGGGGTTCTTTTAGTCTGCGCATTTTACCTACCCTGCTGCCTTGTTGTATAGTCTTTCCTCACTGTCAAATTTACTTCCACTAAAGAATGCAGAAAGAATACCCAGAAATTCAGAGGAAGGGAGGGGAAAGAAGTGGGAAGAAAAGAAAAGCCATGTTATTCCAGCTGCCACCATTTCCCAATTCAGTTCACACAGAACCAGGGCTAAGGCAGAAGTTCCTCTGCAGGCTTTCATTCCCTTCCAAAGCACTCCAAAAGAGACTAAGATGGCCACACTTCACCAAAGTGTGAAGTCCTGCTCTGAATTACGTGTGATGTTATGTATAAAATAAACACCTACTTTCATATCTGGGGCAATAAGGGTCATTGAACACTGGTTTTAGTCACCCCAAGTGTAGCATCTTGTCTCAATCAGTAGCCCATACCCCCTTTGACATTGACAACCTTCTCTAGCAAGTGACTTATCCTGCACTGTAGACACTGCAGTCTGCATAAGATAAATCACTCTCTGGAACCTCCTCGCCAGTGAATGTGTTGTGGAGGACCAGCAAGATTTGGCCATTACTACAACATCTGGGACATCATCACCAGGTTGAGGCACATGAGCATCCCACAGACAGCATCAGCTACATACTTCTCTCCTACTTTCTTTTTTTTGTTTTTAATTTCTCAGGATTTTGCACATGAACAGTTATATCATTTCACAGTGAATATCATATCCTTGGTATATACTTCATAAGGAAACAGGAACAACTCAATTCTCTTTACAGATCATAAAAGCCAACAGAGCCTACTGAACAACCAACCTTGTAAAGGAAGAAATATTACTGGAGACTAGTAAACTCCTGGGAAGGTTTTAGATTCTAAATAAATCACCCCCCATGTGTCTTGGCTTTCACACCAACATGCAATTTAATTATATTTACTTATCCTCCAGTGAGGGTTTGTAAGGATTATCTTATTAAATTTTGAACACCAGTCTGAAGATGTGAAGATTACTATGCCATATAGTGTTGCTGCCAGGTATAATAAGCCCACAATTTGTGGTTAGAAAGCACTTTTCAGTCCAAGAAAAGAGAACCGCATATCTTGGGCTGATGAGGGAAAGCTTTGCATGGTAAAACCTAACGGTGCACCTAAGGGTGTCTGATGCAAGGTCCCAGAGAGAAGATAAAAGCATCAACAGTCCCCACTATCAACCAAAGCAACACAAAGCAGATTTTGTTAGATAACTGGTAGTGAAGCAGATCTACTGTGAGGCTGCAAGAGCCTTAAAATCCCCTACCACCAACCTTAGGTTATGCGAAGAATACAAAGGGCTGTGAGGCTCTTGCTTCCCCAGGGTTATCTCTTCCCAGCTGACGGACCCATAACTCAAGAAAACAGATCCCCAGATGAATAATGACTTGCCTCTTATGTGAGTGGAATGGAGTCATAACTCAAAGCTGACCATCATGTGTTTATGTAGAGCCATTCTGAGGTCAAGATTTATTTCATATCATGGAAGAAGCAGCCTATTAGTCACAAGCACTTCATTCCTCGACAGGACAAAGTGATAATTCCCATAACTTACCAGCTTTGCTTTTCAGTATCATTAATTAAACCTTGAAACTCGCCATGATAAATTACAGCAGAGATCCCTTGCTGAACATGGAAAAAGACAAATTGACTTCATCTGTTCTTTATTGATGAGATAACTGCACTCCCTGTTGCAATGTCACATACCTGGATCCACGTTAAATCGCTCCAGGAGCCTGAAGACCAGCTTGCTTAGCACTTTGCGGTTAAACTTATCTGGTTTGTATCTGGGCAGGCCTTGATATTGTCTGTAAGCAATTAAACAAAATCAGAAAGAAACATCCATGGAGTCACCTGAAATATGTTTCCCAAATAGCAGGTATTTTACAGTAGAAGTATGAGGGTTTGCTAGGTGTTGCTGAGAACAGTCCCCTACTTTTCTCAGCTTAAAGCAAGAAGTCAACAATACAACCACGCAAATTTCCCAGTCAATGACCAAAGCAAGACCAGAGGCTTATTTTAAAGAAAGGGAAAGTGAGCAATTCCCTCTCTTCTTCTTTCAGAACTGAGAATTCAGCTATTGGAGCTGTGCTATGAGTTTGTCAGTCACAAAGCCAACAGTACAGTCAGGAGCTATTCCAGCAAGAGGCAATTTATACATTGAAACACACACGACTATTTCATGAGTACATGAAGGTTAACCACTGGCATCTCTTGTTTTTCTGCCACTTCATCACAGTATTATCTTCCTGCAAAACCTGTACAACCGATACTGAAACTCACTCTTGTCTGCAGCAAAGCACGAGAGTCTGATTGCTACAGCCTCCTGGAGGAAGCTTTGATACTGTTCTATTGCTAAGATCTACTGCACAGCTCTCATTCTGCACTCTGGCCTCCTGGCAGGGACCAAGCATCTGTCAGTAGGAATGATACCTCTGTCTTATGGGCTGAGGCATTTGAGAAGGCTCTGGCACAGACACCAGAATTTCTCCTTTCTCAGCTGAAAAGTAAATATTTTGCACTCCCTCCACTATGGTGAAAAACCATCTCAGATAGACACCCCGAGAACATACTGTCTTCTGACAGCAAGTTGGCCCCAACCGTTTAGAAAGTCAACAAGTGTTTCTACCTTGTGATGTCTCTGATATTAAAATGAGGTTCACACCACGTGTCCAGGATCTGCAAGAGCCTGCTCTGGAGCTCAGGATATTCTCCCACATAGTCCTCCACCAAGTTAGTTTTATTCTGGAGCAGCAGCGGCGTGCACATCTAGGAGAAGAAGTGACATTTCAAGCACTGGACCCTGCCTCTGATCACCTTGTCCTGCAGACAGAGCGCTGCAGAACACAAGGGGCATGGAAGATGTCCATGACTGAAGCCTGGCCAAGGGCTGTGCCTCAGCCATGGTGAGCAAGTCCCAAGCCTCTGCTTACCCAGCCAGTGCTGCCCAAAGGAGCCCCCTGACATTTTCAACACAAACATTAGCCAAGGCAAAGGACGCGACGTGTTCAACACAAACGTTAGCAAAACTCCAAAATGATGTTAAACTGCAACACGGTGGTAACCACTCGTCAAGAGCACAGCTAGAATTTTTTAGAACAGTGGCTGCAGCTAGAAAAACAGGCCAGTAAGTGGTGGTAATGGGGTCTAACAATATACTCTGTCAATTCCCTAGAGGTAAAGGTACATTAGCAGTGTAGCAGCAGGGAATGAAGTAAAGCCTCAGGTGGAAGGCAGCACAACCTGGAGGGTCTTGATGGATCTCCTACTAAACAAAAGGTGGATCTGATGGCAGAGAAGCCTGCAGAGGAAATGACTCACCTTCTCCACATCTTGATCTGGCTGTAATTTTAGCTTAATACTCAGTATGGCTGCCTAGAAAATACAAAAAAAAGTTGTGTATTTAGAAGAAGAACACCACAGTGGATAAGTGGCATTATTCCTAAGTAAAGTACACATGCTATCATACAAATTTTTAATGTTTTAATTATTTCTGTTGAATTTTCAAATACAAACCATACAAACATTTGGCCATGTACATTCCATTTAGAAATGTATACCAACTCCAGCATCTTGTGCTGATGAGGAAGCTCTGCTCTGGTGAGCTCCAGTAACTCAGACGGCGAGAAGAACTGGCTCAGCCACTGTCTGTCCTGTCCCTGCTTGGTGATTACAGACATGAATTAAGATCTAACTGTGCATTGCTTGGGAGGTATATAAACTAATTAGGGTTTTAAGTAGTTAATAGTGTCTAATTTCTGCAGTGTGTGAGAATACTTGGATCTCAAATACAGAATAAGCATATAATGGCTTTCTTTAATGTAATGTATTGTTCCAGTAAATAGAGGATTAAGAGCAAGGAGGCTTCTAGTGCATTTCTGTGTTAGTAGCAATCTCATTGTGAAGGAGGTAACAAGGATGGTTTACATGAAGTGTCCTCGGAACTGCTTTGCAAAGTTAAGCTGTATTTCCCAAAGCAGTCATAAACAGTGTTGAAAACAACATCTCTGACCCCACCGCAGAATGCAGGAACACCGAGGGACAGCAGGACAGAGTGTGCAATCAGCTGAGTCCACAAGTGCCTTTTTACTGAGATGAGGCAAAAACTGTGTTAGAGCTTAGAGGAAAAGCTCTTCTCTTTGGTAAGTTTCTCTGCTACCTGTGATTGATTTTGCTTTGAGTAAAAGATCATGAAAATGACAGATTTGTTTGTCAAAATAGCTGCATTTTAGAACTGTGTTATTGGAATAAGTAAATAAACATAACACAGTAAAAAACATTCACTCCCCAAAGCACATGCAAACCTCATCATTACACTTCACCTACATGAAATCCTTACAGAAAAACTGAAACAGAAAGAGAAGGTTAAGTGGGGGTGGGAGCACACCTTAGAAGAACTTGGATTCTGTGATCTCTCCCAGCGTTCAAACGCCACCTCAACTGAACTCATCCCTGGAAGGAACCTCATGTTCTGCAGCCCCAGCCAAGCAACACAGACCAGCCCAAACAGCTCATCCAGCACTGCCCACAGCAGAAGCCACCACGCGTTACGTTCCTTCTGGGAAATTCAGGCATCCACTTCATCAGGCTGAGTGCACAACAGCAGATAACCCACACACTCCATTGGAGTTAAATCATTCCGCCTTGCTGTCCAGAAAGAACACAGCCCCAGTCACCAGTTGGAAAAGGTTAGGGTTTTTTTCCCTGTTTGTTTTGCTTTGGGTTTGGTTGGGAGGGGGTTTTTGGGGAGCAGGGGGTAAGACAAACACTGACAGTTGAGGCTTCATTCCCAAAAGAGCAATCAACAGAAGAGCTTTAAGTGACAAAAGCAGGAACTAACATTGGTGGGGTGACTGTAGACTACAAACAGTTAGTGAATAGAAAGGCACATTATCAATTCTCAGACCTGCTAAATCTTCAGCCAAATCTCTCTTATACCAGACTTTTTAACTATTCCACCTGTTTAGTGGCCAATATGCTGCTCTGCTCCATGAGCATCAAGTATCTCTTTGCTCAGATTAACAGACTGACATCACAAAATTCAAGATGAGTAATTTTTCTCAGCTCATATACAAGCTGGAGGTTGCTACTTCTGCCTGGGACCTGAAGAAGGGTTTGGGGTCTCCAAAGCTTTGGCAGTATTTTCCTCCCAGCTATCTCAGTTTGATGAATTAAAACCAAACCTCATTTTGCCATTTGATCTCATTAGTACCTTTTATTAAACAAGTAATCTGTCAGTTTTAATACACAAGCACACAACGGTTTCCCTAATAGCTTTTTAATGTTCACATGCATGTTCAGATTACCCTAATTGCAGCACTGTTATCTCAATGGCATGGGTTTATCTCCATCTCTGCTAAGTGTACCGGTGACTTAATGAGCTGAACACACGCTGTGTCAGGTCGGGTTTTCCTCCTGCAGAGGATGAACATTCAGCCTTGTACCAAAGGGTGTAGAGCAACGAATTTTCTTGTGGCCAACGCGTGGAGTGGAGAGACAACACCTTCAAACCCCATCCCTGGCAGACTCAGCTCACCCCCCCACTGCTGCAAGTCAGGAGGAACTTCAAGCAGATCGCACAAAGTGATTTTTGACACCATTTTACCATCAGCCAGCTAAAGTAGGTGACGGAGCAGTCAGACAAACTGTGGTGCTGGCAGGAAGGTCCCACAGCAGGGAGCACCATCAGCAGTGGGGCAGCAGTGTCCTCCACACGCAGAGCTAAAGGGGGAAGGAGAAGCATGACCTGAGTCCCAGCAAAAAAGAGCCACGCTGGATTGCAGGCTACAGTTACACGGGCTGGCTGAATAGGGAGGACAACTGAGATAAAATCAGCGTGTTTACAATAGGAATAATAAGAGAAGAGATATGAGTAACTGTAATAAAGATGAAAGTGTTTGACAGCTGCGTCTGCGGTCTCAGCTCAGAGCTATTTTAAGATTTTGTTTTGTTATTATCATGTTTTGAATTGTTTCGTTCCACAAACAAGTTTTGTGTAAAACGACCCTATTTTTAACAGTCTGTTTTCAGATGATAAGATCTCCAGAAAAGCAACACCTCATTGGGAGACTCGTTTTGTAGTTAGAAAACAAACCCTCCAATTAGGCAGACAGCATGCTGTTACCAAAAGGGTGAGAATCCCCCTCCCCAGCCAAGAAACACCCACTACCCCCTGTGCAGGCCTGGGAACTCCAAGCTGGGCTGGAAGACTGGCCAGGGTAGCTACCAGTTTGTAATGATGTTAATCCAACTGCAGATCTCAGACTCAGGCTGGATCAGCAGGGCACCACCAGTCCTGCGCAGCAGATGCCTTCACCAGCTCATCAGTAAGAGCAAGGAAAACAGCTAGGATGCAAGGAAATGGAAAAGCTCTGGGGTTTTTCAGTCTCTTTTCTGGTCAGGGTTTACCCACCCTCCCTCAAACTGTGCAGAGAACACAGACTAGTGGCACAAGTGGCCTTCTCACAAAAACACATTTCATACTTAGAGAGTTTCTAGCATATAATCTAGTAACAGCAAAGAATTAGCATTGTTAGCATTGTTACTGCACATAAAAGTGTCTAACCTGTACTAAAACCCTCCAGCCCCAGATCACAACAGAAATTTGGGAAAGGCTGATCCCTCTCTTGCCTTGCATCCCCCAAGTGTATACAGGACAGGTACATAATGAACCTGCTGCTTAGTACAGAAGAAAAGGTGATGACCCTTTGCCTGATTCAAATCCTGTCAAAGTTCATGAGTCTTCTCATTGTCCCTGGGGAGCTTTGGTTTGTTCTTTGGTTTAATTATGGTGAGAGCACAAATCATATTTGGACATTTCGTAATAGTTTTGTTTCCCAAGGATAAACACCTACAAATATAGCAAAGAGGAAGGTTGGATGAGGATGGGGAAGAACTTAAAACTGGACAGTGCTACAGTAAATTATATTTAAAGAGGATTTAGGTGCCTTGAGCACAGGATGGGGGAAGTTACCCAAACGTGACACATTCAGGCTAAGCCATGAGCACCAGCCAGACCACTCTTCTCACCAGGCGATTGCAAAATCAAGAGTATGGGAAAATGGGGAGTGTTCTGAAGTGAGCACACAACCCCAGAGCACCCTGCACCAATACCTGATCCTCTCTACTTGTTTTGAATGCAATTGGCTCTGTCTCATCTAAAAATGACTGTTCTTTCCATATACAGTACGAAGTGCAGGAAGCCACACAAGATCTTATCTGCAAGGGCATGTGCACTTGGGTGGTGTCTACACCGACGACTTAGGCAGTTTTCCCACGGTGGGGTTAGCATCAGAGGAATAACCTTTTGCTCGTAGCGCTGCTTGGAGTGATGATGCAGGACAGACACAAATGGTTTCTGATGACTCCTGCATTACTTAGCTCTGCTGCAAGCAAGTTGGGACAACACAAAGGTAAATACGCCTGTGCCTGACTTAGTGTAGTAGTTCTGAAGCAATGGTGAAGGAATTTCTGAAAACCCATAGAACAGAGCAAACAACAGAACGAGAATTTACAGGGGATGATCCAATGTCGACCCTAAGAAAATCACAGTGATCAAAGCCTGGGTACATAATAATGGTAGAAGTAATTGAGTAAAAGGACACCACGTATTAATCACGGGGAACATCTGGTTTGTGTTTTGGAATCGCTCATTTCAAACTTGTGGTAATCAGCTTTGCTCAGACTCTCAGAGTGCATCACCGCATAGTGCATGACATCAGGTTAGATGTTTAATTACTTCCTGCTTAAAGAGCATACAATATACACAGCTGTCTTCAGGAGGATCTTCAGAAACGAGAAGAACGTGAGATTTCCCAGTCTGTTTTCAAGAGAGCATGAACATATTTCCTATGGAGTGAGACCATCAGAACGAAGTAGTGACAGGTTACTCACCACTAAAGAATTTGAGGTAGAGGGAGAGAAGTAAAAGTCCAAGTTGAAATACATGTATGCACAGGTGAAGGGAAGAGGGAAGTGAAGCAAACACTTCTGTGATGTGTCTTCCTCAGGCCACTCAAAGCAGATTGAGACCTGGGTCAACTGGCCTGTGCATCCTCACAAACGAGCGATCCTCTGGAGCACTGCCCAAGTGCACACAGGCCACTGCCTTCACCAGATCCCCCAGATCCAGGCTGTCTCTTTGGCTAGATCTTTACATGAGAAACGTCCCCTGTAGCATTTTCCTTGGTTTTCTTCTCAAGTTTTATTTTTAATTTAAAAGAAAAAAAGAAATTCAAATGCAGAGACTTTAAAATACACTAGGAGTTGAACAAACCTTTATACTTAAGGTAGGGAATGGGGAAAAGAAGCAACATGAGAGATATTTTCACTGTTCTGAGAACAGCTCAGAAAAGTCAGTGAAGAAATCTGAAGTC